GGGGGGAAGCAGAAGGAAGCCTGGCAGATGCCTACAGTCTCTGCTGGAGCTGCAGCTAGGGAGCAGAGGGGAGGGGCCCACCCTCCTAGGCTGGAGCAGAGAGCAGAGCCCTGCCCAGCAAAGCATCTGGGATGCTGGAAGATTCTGATTTAACTTAAACCAGGTAGGGGTCTGGGACAGACATTGCATAAACTGGTTTGAGCCAAATCAGTTAAGTCTGATACTACATTCAACCAGGTTTATCTCAAACTGGTTTCAGCCATTTTCAAACTGGCTTATGTGTACTGAACATCTGTTCTGCTGGTTTAAACCAGTTTCTGATCACTTAACTGGTTTGTGTGTAAAGTCTGTCCCTAGCCTGTGTGTTTGCGTCTGTGTGTGTGTGTATACGTATTCACATGCACACACACATGCATACACACCAAATTACATTGTCTAGTGAGATGTTTAATCAGTTTAATTAATTTTTTTAAGTTAATTCAGATTAATTTTCTTTAGTGACTTCCTGAAGGTGATCACTTAACTTGGTACATCCTTGATTATTTGGTTCAATTCAGACCATTAGTATTGTTTTGTATAGTTTTGGGGTTTTTTTCATGTAGAGTTTAGTGTAGGGTAAGTGAATATACACTGGGTTCCAGCACCTAATTCTAGGATTTTTGTTTAATTTTAAAATATTTTACATAAAATACAATATTCCAGTATTTCAGATTTACGTTGTCAGCTACACACTGTTAACACAATAATTGCCAAATTGTGCCCTTTATTCAATTTAGTCTCTGTGCCTTGATGAGAACTGATTATATAATGAATGAAAAATTGTCATTTTTTCCGACAATGAAGATTGCTATGGCCTCTGTTAGCACATTATTTAAAACAGAGGAATTGTATGCCCCATCCCAAACACTGAATCTCCTGTCATGCCAGATCTGCATGGCACTAGATACAGTGTTTGGAACAGAGCATAAAATATCTACTATCACAGTTACACCACTGTTAAGTTTCCCCCAGCACAGCTGTCCCTAGGTGTGTGTGTGTGTTGGGGGGGCAATCGGGGCAACTACCCTGGGCCCTGTGGAATCGGGTGGAATAGCGGCAGCGTGGAGCTGGGCAGAGCAGTGTCTCTGCATCCAGCTGCTCGCTTCCCACCCCCTGCTGCCACCCCCTGCTGCAGCTTGTTCTAGTCTGGGGCCCATGGGATCAAAGCAGGGTTGGGGCCCCGCATGGGTTGATTTGCCCAGGCCCCACACCCTGCTCAGGTTCCCTCTGGCCCCAAGATCAGGCAGGTGAGAGCTCTGTCCTGGACTCAGGACTTCCTCAACCCCCCCACAAATTCCAGATCCTTGGCTGTTGGGGCTAGGCCCAACCATCAGGTTATTGTCAGATCCAGCTTTGACAATCCGAGGTCCAGTTTGAGACCCAGGGCTGTCTAGAATGGGCCTGACACTTAGCTGATTGTTGGATCCAGCCCCAGCAGTCCAGTTTGAGACCAAGAGCCATCAGGACCAGGTTCAGCAATCAGTTTGTCAGCCCAGCCCTGGGACAGTCCAGCTGCGTATGTGATTTTTAGGAGTTCCAGGACACCAGGACTCTGAGATTGAGGAACCTCTTATATCCCGGGGTTCCTTGTTTCAGGAAGTCTAAAAACTGGATTCAGTGCTGCCGCCTGCAGCCCAGCATTTTAAAGTGCTTTTCCTTGCAGCTGTGGAAGGGCCTGAATAGCAAGACAGAAAAGACTGCTGGGCTCATGAATTGACAGGTTCTCAGCAGCCGGAGTCCCTGAGTTCTCTCCACCAGGGAACATTGCAACTCGCTTTCCTAGTAGCAAGTTTTCAGCATTGGCACCAGGGTAGTCCCAGTCCTAATGCTGACCCCTGTTCTCATACCAAAGCTGACAATCAGTTGTCACCATTGGCATGGGGGTGCTACACATTCAGTTTATGGTGCATACAAATGAGCCACAAAGATGTTCTACATATTTTATGGAACATCCTTATGGCTGGTTTGTCACTTTATGGAACATGAAGTTATCTGAATTGCTGTTTAAGTTGTGATTAACACGTTAATCAGAGCATAACAGTAACGTGTGCCAGCAACCTATCTGACAGTGGCAGCAATCCAAGAAGCTCTCCTTTTAAACATATGAAAATAGCTATTGAGAGTTGCTGAAGCTGCCTCTAGTGATAGAATCTGAGTTTTACTAAGCTTCAGTAAATTCTGATGGGAGTTACTCTACAAGTAGCTTATGTCATGTTACTTTTTTATTGAGTTCAGACTACTTCTGCAGATTGTATGAAGGTCCCTTGCATACCTTCCTAGCCCTACACACTTCAGTAAGGCCAGTTATAATCTGACCCTTATTTATTCATAAAATGAAACTGCATTTGATAGGATTACTATACATTTGGTAATCTAATCCAGTTTTAGGACTGCCTTTTAGCCAATTAACATGTAATCAGCAATGTTAGAACATTAGGTAATCAAATATACAAAACTGAAACCAGAATGTTCAGCTTGATTACACAGACAAAATCATAGCACTAATGTTCATTTTGATAATGAATAGTTTTCATTGTCATATTGTTTCAAAACAATTACATTCATTGTTGAAGCATGTTATTTATTTGATTCCATGGAAAAGCAATTAAATGATTTTCTGTCTTGGAAACTGAGTGATTATAATTAGTATTAAAAATAGTTAAATGCTAACATCCAGTTTCCAAACTTCAGTAAAGCAACTCAGCATTATCAGAGCAAGCAGTGTAAAAGTAAATTCAATAGAACAAATTTAAAGGAACTGGGAATTGTACTTTAGTAAGGACTACTTTAAAAATGGACCCCTACACTTTTACACGTGCTCCAGAGGTTGTGGGGAGTGGGGCAGCGCTTAATTAGAGCAGCTGCAAGAGTCTCTTTAATTAAAGCACCACTGCATTTCGTGTATCGTCATCCCCACACTTAAAAATGGCAGCGGGGCCACTTGAACTAATTCAATGAGCTTTAGTTCAAGAGCCCCTGCTGTTGCCATTTTTAAGCATGGGGATGCTGATACACAAGACGTAGGAGGCTGCTGGAGAATAATTGCCCTGCTCCAGCAGACTGAATTAAACAAGTCTGCTCTGACGTGCTGTAATTACAGCACATCAGAGCAAGTATCCCACAAATCTACAGGCACCCAGAGTACTCAGTCAAGATTCCAAAAAAAAAAAAATCCTTTCTCACCTATTCATGCTTTACAGCCTCTGTGCTTGTGTATAGGCACATCTAGTGAGGGATCTTTGTTTCCTGCCCAGAATTATGCAGTTACTTAGGGTAATATTTTAAAAAATTGAAACAGACTGTTTGTTAGACACTGAACAAACATTACAAATTTAAATCATTCCTTTCAAAAAAAGAATGAACAAATAAGTTTTAATAAATTCCTCATATTTATAAATCCTTGAGGGGCTTTCTCTAGCATTAGAAGGAAATACTAATGGGAGAGAGTATTTTTCCATCTGAATTCTGTTGCAGTGTTCAAACATAATTCTATTTAACAACAAAGTAAGTATTCCTGCCCATGGTTCTACGCACTAAAAGTTATTTAAAATAATCTGTACAGGAATACCCACCTACCTGGTAGTCTACAAAACTTGAATGGTACAAAATTATTAGAAAACAAAATCTATTTGTATGGTTGGAAAGTCAGTGAAATTATAAATGTAATAGTTCCCCAGCCCTATAAAATAATAATAATAATAATAAAAAAAACCTTGCAATTTGCAAGTTTTTTTTCTAAATGAAGAGACCTGTTCCACAAGATTGCTTGGTTGAAGGTTCCATACATTATTTTATTTTCTTCCTCTTTTTTATAGGACTTCCTCATTCTTGCTGTCTAACCGAGTTCTTGTATTGTCTTGTGTAGGTTCTTTAGTGGCAGCCATATTAGCTACCGATGATGATTCTGGAGTAAATGGAGAAATCACATACACTGTGAGTGAAGATGATGAAGACAGCATTTTTTTCCTGAATCCAGTCACTGGAGTCTTTAATCTGACTCGCATTTTAGACTATGAAATGCAGCAATATTACATTCTTACCGTCCGTGCAGAAGATGGAGGTGGTCAATACACTGCCATCAGAGTTTACTTCAACATATTAGATGTAAATGATAATCCACCCTTATTCAGTTTGGCCTCATACAGTACATCTCTCATGGAGGATCTACCACCAGGATCTACAATCCTCAACTTTAATGTTACTGATGCAGATGACGGTATGTGCTTCCTTACATTCTTTAACTTCTTATAACGCATGAATATTAGTTCAGTATATAAACATTTGCTTATGAGAGGCAAATAGCAGTAATTTTTTGCAGTGCAGTATGTAAATTATTACTTTTTGATGAACCATGTTTAAATGTTGGTTTGTTTCTTCCAATGTTTTTATTTTCCAAAAGTGGTGAAGATACCAGAAATCTATGTATGTACCCACTTAGACACACATTTTGAAGTACTTTAAGTATAGAGCATGCTTACAATATCTAAATATGAAAAAAAAATTAAATGTGTAACCCCTCTTGGGACAGGGTGTGAATGTGTAGCTGAGGTGATTCAGTTTCCCCAACAGTACAACAGCTTAACAATAGAGTACAAACACTCTTATTTACACCCATAGGCGTTAGAACAGTGATCTGTAATAACTCATAAAATCATGCATGGAAACCTGACAACAAAATTACCTCCTTAACCGGGCAACTTAAATCGCTGACCCCAAACAGTCCCACAAGGACCCTTGAGGGGGAGAATCTTTACCTTGTGCATAGTCCAAGCTGTTCCAGATGATGTAAGAACTTTCACCACTTTACAACCACACTGACTGCACTGACTTCTGCAGCCTTTTCAGCACGAGTTCCACAGGTCCAGTTCCACAGCAGAAGTCAATTTAACTCCTCATTTTGGGTCTCCTTTGTAAGGAAGTCAATCTCCTCCCAGCTGTAATCAAACCATGCACAATACAGAGCCCCCAGAGAGTGTGTGGTTCTGGCTGAATCCTGGGAGCTGCATGTGGTGACATGGAGCTGGCCCAGCCCTCTGGCATGTACCTTCGAGCCAAATCAGGCTGGCTCTGTGCCAGCACATGGGGCTCCCAGCACTGCAGGTGGGATCTGCGCGCCACTGCAGGTGGGTCCTGCACAGACCCCTGTCCCCAGCAAACCCCCCACTCACCCCCCACCACACCTCTTCACACACACCCCCACAAATCCCAACTCCCATACCCCCACACACAATATACAAGAGTAAGACTTTATTTTGAATTATCATGCAATCACCTCTATATACACTAAGCAAACACATATAAATCAAGACAAAAATATATTTTTTAATAAAATGAAAATATATTGTAGTAGATGTTTGATTTTTATCATATGATTTGTTTTTTCTCTGGTTCCAAGATGGCAAACCCCCTCCCAAAAAGAGTACTTCTGTGGGCAAGGGGGTTGAACTTCCAGTGGCAATGGTCAGGGGTTAGGGGTGAGACTTCTGGTCCCAAGATGGTGATCAGGGGGTGAAGTGCCTGTCAAGGGGTAGGGCTACTCTTTCAGCCCTTGACAATTCACCAAAAGTCATTAAGTAGCCCTCCAGCTGAAATATTGCCCCCCCCTCCCGGTTTAACCCTTCACAACCTATGGGCAGCAGTTCCAAACATTTTTATCCGTATTATGGTTTTAAAGCACATCTACATGTTCTAGCTGTTCTGTTTTTCTTTTTTTCGTAAAATTTCAAGTATATTCTAAAACAGTCACTACAAGGATGAATACAAGTGAGACCCCTCCCCACAGATAGTCATAGCAGGAGACCCATAACTATATTCTGTACAGGTGCTTTAATCTACAGATTACCAGTAGAGGAGTTCAAGAAAAGTTTTTAATAAAGCATAAGGAAATGCCTCCTTATAAGCGTTTAATCCTTGGATTATTTTACACCATAATAAGAGAATTTAGGAGGTGACAACCAGTTGGGATTTGAAAATAATGATCAGGATAAATTGCCTGGAAAATTGAGAGAGGGGCCAGGATTTCTTAGGGTGATATCTTTTATTGGTCCAGCTATGGAGTTGGGATATAGTTTGAAAGGCTTTCAAATGCAAGACCTTCTTTGACAGCATATTAACAATGTGTTGTATAGTATATGCCTACAATTTCTAATGACGATTAATTATTATGTGTATAAAATACTTTAAAATGTCATGCAGGTTTTAAATTTAGGATTTTTTTTGTGATATCTCTTAGACAGATAGCCTTCTCTGATTCAGAGCACTTATGTCACATTGAATTCCTTGTGGTATAGGCATCTGCTAAAATGTTTCCCTGAATCCAGGCTTGTACAAACATGACTCAAGTTGGTTGGGAATTTTTCAACAAAACAACCTCTCATCAGAAAATAATGATTGGTCAAAACAGAGCCTTTTAGGAGCATTCCAATTTTGATACAGCTTTTATTGGAAACACTTTTGTCGGCTCAAAATGTAGTTCCTGATCAAAATCAGGAGGAGTAAAAATGAGAAAAATATCTACCCACCCTTGAAATAACTGGTTGTCTACTTCTGTAACTGGCTTAACAACCCAGTTGTTGACAGTTTTGGAGTGGGTCTCCCTCAGACTCTTTCCAGTTCTTTCTTTCCCTCATTATTTATTTATTTATTTATTTTTGTTGCTTTTTTTTCATTGTTTAGCAATCATGGAGGTTTTTTGTGTGTATTGTTTTTTGCAAAAAGCATAAGTTCCTGGGGTTCTCCTCTTGTGGAAAGGGAAAAATGTTTGACATCTCAAATGACTTCATTACAGGAAAATAGTTTGCCCAGTCAGTTCTGTACATCTCTCCCACTGAAATCCATGAAGTTCTAGTAGATTAAATCCCTAGAAAGACTATCAAGCAATTCTGGTGTATAACGTTTCATTTTAGATTCCATGCAAATGACAATTTTAATATCACTTAAAACTGTGGACCTTATTGTCCATTGTTTACATTTGTTACATCTCTGTAGTACAGATATTAAATGCTTCCAGATCATAAGCATAACATTGCACAAATTGACACTCAATTTCCATTGGTATAAAAGACTGCTTAAGTGCAGGGCAGTAAAAAATCAAAGCAATATCTTGCCTTTTATAACTTATAGTAAGTTTATTTTCCCAACAATCTAGATTTTAAAATTACTGTAGGATATACTGCCTTATATGAACATGCTGCAGGCTTGGACAATCTCTAACCTGAGCAAAAGTTACAAGCTATTTGTGATGCCATTTCAATCTTGGAAGCTAAAAATTGAATCCACCTTGGACCCATCATCTAAAACAGGGTAAAAGTTACTACTGTGTATCTCCATAAATAGCCTATAGATTATGATCTGAATGGGGCTCTTTTGGGAAATTTTCTGATTATTTATGTTAAATGATTAAGGAAGACTGCTGCAGTCATGAAAGGGGCATTGTTTTATATCAGGCTACATCCGTGAATCTAAGATAAATGCTAATAAAAGCTGAAAACTGAAACAGCAAAATACTCCCATTGTCATTTTCCTGTTTGACACACCTCTTGGGAAACAATAGTTGTTTACGTCAGTTTGAGTTGCTCTGTATACAAAGACATAGTAAGTATAAATGGGAATGCCATGCAGCTTTCAAGCATTTACAATAGGGTAAAAAACTCTAGTTTCCTAAAATATTGAGGCATCGATTACAGGGGGTGATTTTTTTTCCATAAGAAATTAATACAAAAACTATTTTAAATTGTAAAACCAGTAATTTTGGAAGATGCCAAGACACTCGTCACTGATTGATCTTGTAAGAAGTGTAGGAATCAAAACTCTTGAGAGAAAAACTTATAGGCAAAGTATTGCAGGAGTCATGCCCATGTCCCTGTATGTGCTTATTTCAGGGGAACAGGCTTCTCAGCAGAATTGACAAGTGGAATTTTAAAGAGTTTCATAGAAATGTATGCCTCTGTGTGCATCCATACATGCAATTAATGTGAAGCAATAAACTCCAGAACAGTTTGTGCTACAGTATATACTCCTAGGTGCAGCATCTACACATGTGCCTGGGACAGCACCAATTTAAGCTGGCTTAGAACAGGCTTGGGCTGGCAGAGGGAACAGGGGGTCAGTTCTGGGTCCTGGGTCAGTGTTGGACCCAGTTCTGGGTACAACAGCAGTGGTGCTGGGTGGCAGAGAGGCTGGTTCAGGCATGAGGTTGCTGAAAGTGCAGAGCTGTGTGGCTAGGCTGCAGGCAGGAGTCAGCTCAGCCAGCCAGGAGCAAAACTGGGCACAATTTACACCTGTGGTCAGCATCTACACGTGTGTTTAATTGCAGTTAATTACCCCAAAGTAAGATAGCACTGTCCCTGAGAGTACTGTCTTACTGTGGCATAAATTAGTTTACTGCAGCCTAATACCATGTGTAGATGGTGACACCTTACTCCACAGCCAATTAGTCTATTCTGCAGTAAAGACCATGCATAGACACAGCCTCTGGGTCTCAGGTGTAGCGAAGTTTTAGAAAACAAAGAAAAACCCCTGTGGTCCCATACTTCTCAATCTCATCATCACTAATCAAAGTAGCAGAGGGAGCCCCTCTATTTTGGAAGCCTGATTTGTAATAATGAGGGTGAATGAAAGAGACCCCCATCTCCAACTCAGTGTTTGTTTTTAAAGAAATTGACTCTTTTTTTCAGTTACTGTAAGAGTGATTGACTCTCAAGTTTTTCATTGGTTTCAGTATGGCCGCAAAAGCAAATGTACAACATTAAGTGTAGGCATACGTTTTTGCATAGTCGAGACACAAGAGATGGAGGGTTATAGTAGTTCATCTGTTTTAACAAGAAAGGTACAAATAAAAACCCAGCTATAATAGGATTATCACCTAGAAAAGGAATGGCAAGCTTAATAAAAATGTCATGAATTGGGAGAAGAATAGCAACTGCTGAAAGCAGAATATGATTATGAATAAATTGTGTCAGAAATAAAAAAGTATATGGATAAAAAATGGCAAATATATTGTACATAGAACAAGTAATAAAATGGACATGAGAAAAGAGTAAAAAAAAAAACACCCCAGTAATAAAATATAAGAAGATTCTTGTTTGTTTTTAAATGTCTTCTCTTTCTTTAGTGTCCAATATTTTACTCATCAAGTCATTGGCAAAACTCCTATTGTCTTAGATACAAGTAGGATTTCCAGCTGATGAATTTGGTAGTTTTTGAGGTTCTTAGCACCTCATTAAAACTTAAGAACATTTTCATTAGTAGTGTTAGTAGTGTTAAAAGCAAGATAAATTTATAATATCATAGTACTGGCCTAGCACTTCACTTGTTCAAAGTAAGTTACAAACATGTATTCATTCATTTATCTAAATAGAGTAATCTTTTCTGAATGTCATTTAAATGTATTATTTTTTCATGTTTGCTTTTAAAAGAATGATTTAGAGTCTTATTCCATTGAGAATAAAAATAGAAATGATGAATATGTTGTTTACAGGAATCATTTTTCTTTCTTAAGAACTCAGTTGGAGGAGAAAATAAACTGCTGAGTAAAATTGGCAGAAAATACCAAGTAACAAAACATTTAAATATCCAGCTTCAGATTATGCAGAGTTGAAAAAGAAATATTTAGAGAAGGCCTGGTATTATATAAAAATCTATTAATTCTAATTCATAACAATTATGGCCAAAAAAACAAAGTATAGGATTTCAAAATTATTTATTTAATGTTTTACGGTTTCAGTGTTTAATTCAGAGGCCAGAGGAAAAAGTAGATCTCAGATTGCCATTTGAAGGAATAATACAAATATTCAAAATAAGCTCTGGGTTTTAATTTGTCAACATACATTTTTTGGAAGTATACCATGCCTAAGGCAGCTTAGCATCATTGTCGAGACTCAAAATGTATTTTACTTACTAGAACTGGAGATTCTTCTGTGGCAATAATTGACAAACTTATATTGCATTGATGAGATGAGGGTTGTTCATTTGGTATTTTTTAGTTTTGTTCCATATATAAGATAAGAACTTCCATTTATTGGGTCAGACTACATATCTATCCAGCCCAGTATCCTGTCTCACGCAAGGGCAAAGAGTGGATGCTGATGAAAAATGCCATGTTCAGAATTTCCTACCACCTGCTTTTCTCCTACCTTTGTTTCCAGCATTCAAAAGTTTAGGAAGTTTTGTGTCAGTCTTTACCCCCTTGCATGTGTAGTACCTACTGATGGAACATTCCTCATTGAATTGGTCTAATCTCCTTTAAAAATTAGTTAAATTTCACATCTTGCTGCAAGAAGCTCTACAAGTTTTTTTCCCATGTGAAAAAACTCCCTTTTGTTACCTACTACCTGATAATTTCATTTTATTTCCTCTGATTCTAATATTGAGAGAGACAGAAAATAAGTCTCTATTTACTTTCTCTGCATCATTTATTATTTGTAACCGTCTGTCATGTCCCCCTTCAAGCTGAAATGCCCTACCCTGTTTGGTCTCTCTTCATATGGAAACGATTTCATACCTCTCTGATCATCTATGTTATTCTTCTCTATACCTAGTTCTGTATTATTTGTGAGAAGGGGGAATGGAAAAGGTACATCAGTAAACATTTTCAGTTTATAAATATTTTGTCAACACTTAACTAACTGTGTAGGTGGTGACATCTGAGTAAAGCTGTCGATTTGACAAAATATAATATGTAACTATAATTTGTCCATATTTAATCACAGATGATAGAAAATAGGATGTGCTTCTCATACATCTGAATGCATTATTTCAAAATGTAACGATTTTCCCATTTATTATTTTGAATAGTATTCTTACAGATTCATAATCCTACCAGGCATTTTACTTTATGTATACATCTAGATCAATGAGACCTGAATTATAGTTTTATTTTTGTTTTTCAGGCCCTAACTCTCAATTGTCCTACAGTATTGCATCAGGAGACAGCTTGGGCCAATTTAATATTGACAAGGATGGAGTTCTAAGCATCAAGAAGATTTTGGATCGGGAAAGTCAATCCTTTTATAGTCTTATTGTTCAAGTTCATGACATGGCTTCTCTCCCAGCTTCCAGATTTACAAGCACAGCTCAAGTTTCAATAATTCTACTGGATGTGAATGACAACCCTCCCAACTTCATCTCTCCAAAGCTGACCTACATTCCAGAAAACACTCCAATAGATACTATTGTTTTCAAAGCCCAAGCAACAGATCCAGACAGTGGCCCAAACAGCTATATTGAATATACTCTTCAGAGACCTTTAGGAAACAAATTCAGCATTGGCACTATTGATGGTGAAGTAAGGCTCACTGGAGAGCTTGATAGAGAAGCAGTTTCTAATTATACCTTGACTGTGGTAGCTACTGACAAAGGTCAGCCATCTCTGTCATCTTCTACAGATGTAGTTGTAATTGTTCTTGATATTAATGATAATAATCCCCTCTTTGCACAAAAGCAGTATAAAGTAGAGGTTGATGAAAACACTCTGACAGGAACAGATCTGATCCAGGTGTTTGCTACAGATGGAGATGAAGAGACAAATGGGCAGGTTCGCTATACCATCATTAGTGGAAATACTAATAATGAGTTTAGGATCGACTCTGTTACCGGAGTGATAACAGTTGCCAAGCCATTGGACCGAGAGAAGGAACCCGCCTACACTTTGACTGTTCAGTCATCTGATCGTGGAAGTAGCCCGAGGACTGATACCACTACTGTCAATATCGTGCTGATGGACATTAATGATTTTATTCCTACATTTGAACTTTCTCCCTATTCTGTGAATGTCCCTGAGAATTTAGAGACACTTCCAAAAGTTATTTTACAGGTCAGTACATTTAGAGACAACATAGTGTACTTCTTCAAAATGTAAAGAATTCTGAAATGTTGTAAAATTTAAGAATAGCTTTTGTGAATACAAAAGAACATACTGTGTTGTTTTTTGTATAGGTGCCCAACTGCTTATTTCCTTTTTTATCCATACAGTCAGATAGTAGGGGTCCACCCTATCCCCTTTGTTCCTGCTTCCTTTGCCACAAATTCCTTCAGTCTGTTCTTTTCAGACTTCCTCTTTAATATGTGGGTGAAGCACTGTGACAGTTAAAGGAGAGTCATTAAATGTACACAGTAGCAGATTTTAGGGTGGGTATGCTGTGCGTTTTATTAAAACCATAAGTTGACTCCAAATTTGATCTTAATAATACTTTCACATTGAGGGAAAAAGAACAAATAATTATATATTTATTTTAAAGCATCATTTGAAATCCACTTGCCATTCCTTTACAGCTGGTATCTAACAGACTTCCAGGCATTTCAGTTTTTTGTCAAACAGCATATTTTCTGTTTCCATGAAATGCTTTCCACACAAAGAGATTTCACTGACACACAAGTGTGCACTTATCAGTTATTGCTATGTCTTCTGAAGGGCTTATTTTACTTTTGTAGGTTGTAGCACGGGATGATGACCAAGGTCTAAATAGCAAACTTACATACATTCTTATTAGTGGAAATGAAGATGGCGCCTTTACTCTCTCATCCACTGGAGAACTCCGTTTGATAAAGAGCCTTGATCGAGAGACAAAAGAGAAGTATGTCTTGCTGATCACAGCTGCTGATTCAGGTAAATCAAATGCACAATCTAATTAGGTGTTTGTTTTTTAACTGGCTTTGTAGATATATATTAGATACCAATTTATAGCTTGCCTTTGTTAAAAGTGCAGGCCAACAATTTCAGTCTTTATTGTGATATCTTTTATTGGACCAGCTATGCAGTTGGGTTAAAGTCAGACAAGCAAGACATTTTTCCTCGGGCCCTATGATCATTTGAAAGGTTTTCTAACTTTATTCCAACTGCATGGTTGGTCCAATAAAAAGTATCACCCTAAGAATCTCCTTGTTTCTTACATAATTTCTAGACTATCATGGCTACAATATCACTTTTACATTACAAAGTCTTTATTGCATTATGCACTCAAATTCAAATTTATATATCTCATGTTAAATTCAGGTCTACACAGTGCTGTTTTCTTAAATATGCTGGATGTGCAAGAGAAAGAAAGTAGTGTATGGTTTCCTATCCCAAATGTGCAGAGAGCAATTGGGATGGGCTGAATTTATATTTGTAATACATTGGACCTGACTCGGTACAGGATGTCTCATGCATTAAGTGACAGGGCAAGGGGGGTGGGGTATTGGAGAAGAGGGAGGCATGAAGGGAATCTTGCCCCACAGCAGTGTATCTAAGATCCAGTGTCTCCAATGGCTGTTTTTAGAAATCTACGTCTTCTGTCTGCTTAGCAGCACTGGCTCATTGGAAAGGAGATATAAAAGAGAAGATTTGCCACACCAGAACAAGTATAGCTATGACAGTGCAGTTAACTTATTCAGATTTACTTGTTTTAATAATCTATAAGAAGTTATACTCACTAATACATAGAAAGCATAGAGGGCCTTTGCAAAAATAGTAGCACGCTATACTGGTTCACTGTTAAATCTGTAAATATTATGCTGATTGTTGCTAATTGAAGCTGGTCTTCTTTCTGCCTGTTTTTTATACTTCCAGGCCCAGTTGTTTTCTTTATCAATAACAAAAAGAAATGTTAATGGCATTTGAAAAGTCTTCATTGTAAATTAATGCTATTGTTTCATAATACTATGAAGCACATTAAAGATTTGGACAAAAGTATTTAAAGGACCATATTCTGCTACCATTGAAGTCATTGTCAAAATTTCCCTTGATTTTGATTTTGCTGAGAGCAGGATATAGGACACAATAGTAGTAAACACGCAAACTATCAATACTTACAAACTTATATAGTTTAGCTCAAGCGAAATTCTGAGAGATCCTTGTCCTATTTAATTTATGTGCAGGAAGTCAAGGCATTGCAGAATGCTAAGAAATATAGTTTTGTCAAGGCTTCTTAAAACATGTCGTTTATTGCAAAATTTCTAGGTACAAAGTGTTACCATTATAAATGCTAGGCATTTCATTGATTTTTTTTTTTTAAGTTTTTATATTGCTTTAATATATGTGGTGTATGTGTCTATGTGTGTGTTGTTATGGACTTCTGGCAATGAAGGTAGAAAATGCCATTCCATGGGGAAAAGCCTTTCTGAATAAGGACATTTATTACAGAAAAATTGTTGTAACGTATTATTATAAGAGTGAATTAATTTGGTAAAAATATTCAAAACATAATAAAGCAGGATACCAAATGTTAAAAAGGTATTTAAAGTCATAACATAAACTTGGCAAAGTACTGCCCTTCTCTAAGCAAGGATTTATTTAATGAAAAAAAGCAGGTCTTGCTATACATCTATTTGATGGCCATGACTCTATGATTAAATATGTAACCAAGTTGCTTTGAATGTCATTTTTAAGACCAGTTAATATAAATGCAGAAATATATTCTTTTTGGCAATAACTGGAGTGGGGATTCCTAATTCCCAGCCTGAAGTAGCTCTGTCTCTTTGAAGGGTTTTGTTTTATGTCTGTTAGGTATCACTTCTGCTTTTTAGCTTGTTTCCAAAAGTAAGGATTAAGTAGAGTGAGATTTAAGTTAGAAAAACAGATAATTTTGCCATTTCTAACAAAGAATCATTATGAAGAAAACTGCCTTTCTGAAATTATCCTCATCCATGTTATCTTTGGATAAGGAAAAAGTTGTATTGTTTGGACTATACATTTTGTTTGTTTGTTTTTTATTTGATTGTTTTTAGAAAATCAGGCAACCATCTCACTTAACATGGTGCATCTTACATCCAGATGAAAAAAAAAATTGAAAATCTATGGATAGTCCATCAAAATTCTGGATGTCCAGGTCTTTTTTCCTTCTCACAGCACATCCATGTAGTGCTCATGTACTATATAAACCCAGCAGCATTCCTAGATATAAACACTGAGGGGTTCTTAACCTACCCTTGTACTATCCTGTTAATGGCCCTTCAACATAACCACCTGATTCATACTTGTGTCATAGTTTATTATGAGCATAATGTGTGTGGTTTTACCTTTTACTAATGTTATATAGTCTATGGGTCAATCTAGTGATATGAGTGGTATTCCTTAGCCCCAAAAGTCATAGCTAACCAATATGGCTAAGCACAGATGTTCAAAAAGTCCCTGGTGGAAGCATTCTAACTATTGCACTTAAAGCACTGTAAGTCAGAGCACAGGCAAACTGAATAGACTTTCACTGTTCATGGGGCAGGGGGAATCAGCGCCTGCCTGTACAGGCCACTGAGGGCATTCCCACACACCTCCCAGGAGGCTGCTAGAGCGCACCCCCCCCC